TTTTTCTATTTTTTGAGACAGGGTTTTCCTATGCAGTTTTGAGCTCACTATGTAATTTAGGCTGTCCTCAAACTTGTGGTGATCCTCCTGCCTCAGCCTCAGCCTCAGCCTCAGCCCCACCACCCCCTCCCCACCCCCACCCCCACCCCCGAGTATCTCCAGGCATAGGTTAAAGAAGGATCTACACCTGAGTTTCTCCACCGTGCGGTTTACTCTGGCCTTCAGACTTTGTTAGGGTTCGCAGCCAACCTGGTTCGGATGCCACCTCCTGGACAAATCCGGCACCGCATGCCCTTTCTGGGTGTCCTTCCAGGCTTCTCCAGACCCGCGCTACAAGCTTTGAGGGTCTAGCCAAGACTTTGGGAAACAGCACGTTACCTTAACATAAAAGCAGGTTGTGGCGGTGGGGCGCACGCCTGTGATGCCCATGCAGAGGAGGCTGATGCAGGAGAATCTGCCATTTTGAGCCCAGCCAGAACTACCCAGTGAGACTCTCAGATTATTATTATTACTTTTTTTTTTTTTTTTTTTTTTTTTTGCGGAACCAGAGATTGAACTCAGGCCCTTGCACTTGCTAGGGAAACGTTTATTCCACTGAGCCATCTCCCCAGTCCCTCAGATTATTATTAGTCACAAGCCTTCATGGAGCATTTTAAAGATACTCATTCCTGATACAGCAAAGGCAAAGTGACCAATGGTGAAATATAACTTTCTGAGAAAAAATTCTAGAAATAACACGCAAGCACTGTTTACATAAACCAAAGCCCAATCACACTAAGACGTCGTGAAGCTTTTAGATGGCTTCCAGGGGTAAAATAGCTGTAGGAGAAAAGGAAAATACAGTATGTTCCGGTTTTGGTTTAAAAAAATGAGAGGAAGAGATATTTCCAGATTTTTGTATTTTTTTTTTTTTCATACTGGGGCTAGCACTCTGGACCTTGCACTTGCCCAGCAGGTGCTTATGCCCCTGAGCTCTCTCCCCAACCCCTTATTTATAGATTTATAAATGCAGTTTTTGTTTTTTTTTTCAGAACCGGGGATTGAACTCAGGACCTTGCACTTGCCAGGCAGGCACTTATTCTGCTGAGCCTCTCCCCGGCCCTATAAATGCAGTTTGGGGGAGATAGATACCGCAAGAAACTCGTAAGATTCGTCTCTGTGGCAGGAACAGGACGACTACGGAATGCTAAGGGATGGGAAGGTGCTGCTTTTCATTATTTATAACTGTAAAATTTAATTTATGTATTTTTTCTCTTTAAAAGTAATTAATAAAACATTTAAATAAGATCATTTTTAAAAAACCCAAAACTCCAGTTCCTGGATTTGTTTCTTTTTTCTTTTTTTGGCAGAACTGGGGATTGAACTCAGGCCCTTGCATTTGCCAGGCAAGCACTTATTTTACTGAGCCATCTCCCCAGCCCCTCCTGGATTTGTTTGTAGAATGTCACGAGAGAGTACAGCTCCCACTCTGGCAAACAACAAGGAAAAGCTAGCTTAGCGAGAAAATAGAAGCTATATATTATATATATATTTTTTTTTTGTTTGTTTGTTTGTTTTTGTTTTTTTTCTTCTGTATTTAGGACAGGGTCTACAGGATCTCACTGCACAGCTTGGACTTGCAGTGATCCTCCTGTTTTCAGTCTTC